TAAGTTCCCAGTTGTCACCTGTAGTTTTGAATCAAAGTTTCTGTACAAACTAACTGTAATATGAACATTAAATTTTGTTTTATAACTGAATCATGTAGTTCCAGTATAAATTAAGAGCTAATATAATAGTAGTATGTAGTTTATGGGTCCCTAATCAAACCAGTAGCAAATTTTTTGAGGTTTGAGGAGGTCACACTACTCAGATACCTTCACTAGCTTTAACTGAGGTCCATAGAGTCCTGTATACCCCTGAAATAAGTCCTTGACCTTAGAAAGAGACTTTTGTGACTGGATGCATTGCTATGTACTCTGTTAAAAATAAAATACTTAGAATGAAGAGACAACTTATAAAAATGACATGTATATTAATTGAATAAGTAATATATAGCACTTGGTTCAACTATTGGTAATAATTACTAAAAATTATGATATGAAATATTTGTGTGCCATTGATTTCTCATATAAAAAATGTACATTTAATACAAAATACTATGTAAGGCTTGATATTTATTAATATCTTAATAAATATCTTAAATATTTGTTGGTGTCTACAATGTAAGAGCATATTTCATGATAATTACTATTTTCTGTCAGAGTATGATATATGAAGTGACCGCACAGTAATACAACACTGTGTGTATGATATTCACTGGGACAACAGTCAGGATCTCAACTGTCAAAAAATTCTCTTCCATTTTAAATGGCTTTAATGTGGAAGCTCTAAACCTCTGTAATTTCACTTTCACTTTCTGTTATCGGAATGTGATGGCTCACATTGCCCAATAACATTATCTAAGATCTACAAAATAATTATTATAACTGTACTGTAATGTGGTTGTGTGCATATTCCAACAGAGTCACAATGTCACACCTATTAGTTAAATAATTCATAAAATACTTGTAAATGAATAGCCTACAAACACTAAATACACAGCATTCAACAGTGTTAACCATAAACATGAACACCAGCAACACACAGGAACGGTGTTTTGATCAGAAATTTAAAAAA